GGGTCATCATTATGCTAACTGAGAGCTTTGGATGGGATCTAAACCTTCCATCACTAGAGCTGATGGTAACCTGTAGCTGTTGAGGGGTCAGGTCTCTTCTTCTAGATAGGTGTCCTGAATCTGCCTCCAGCAGGGTCCTTCCACCTTCCTGTGACAGATTTGAAGCAGGAGGCAGGATACTGAGCCAGCTGGACCACTATTCCAATGTTACAAGTGAAGATGAGCTCTGGGTGCAGAGACCAAAGCTGGGAGTTGTCAGAGCCCAAACAAATTGAAATCAACACAGCAAACAAACGTGGGAATCCCATGAAAATGGATTCAAATTGTGACTGCCCAGGAGGGTCGCTAAAAGACTGTATCATGCACAGGCATCAAAAATAATGCTGCCAGTGGTGTAAATTGTGGGGATGAGAGGGGCACTAGCCCTGGGCACTAATTTAGAGGGTGCATTGGAATGGCACCCCCATCCACTGGAGTCTTTGCCATATCAGGAGCAGCCCTGTGCTGCCTGGCCATAGGAGCTAGGTACATGACACACAGGACACAGCAGGAGCTGTAGGAATCATTGAGTTTTCAGGAAAGGTAAGACCTTCCTTCACCCTCCCTCTCCCCCTGCTCTCTCATACCCAGCAAAACGCCACTGGGAAAATTTTTTCCCAGGACACCAAATGTGAAAGTTATACCCCTGAATGCTGGCACTGCTGCCAGTGCCTCATCTAATGACTCCAGAATTGTAAAGGTCTAGAAACAGGACACTATCCCAGACAGGGATAGGTATCCTAGGATGCATGACTCCACCTCCATTCATACATACCCCAAGCAGAGGTCTGAATGCTAGAGGAGGTGGAGATTAGGCAGAGACAGATGAAACAAGGTAAATGGAAGAGGAATGAAAGGGGTGGATAAGGGTGAGTGAGAGAAGTGAAAGAGCAGAATGAGGAGAAGGGACAGAACACAGAGAGAAATGAAAAAGTCAAGGAGACTGCCTCAGAAAGGAAAAGGCAAGCTCAGCAGAGTGGGCAGCTCAAGAATGAGGGAAGTGAAGTGCAGGCATAAGAGAAAGACAGAAAGGCTGGGAGAAAGGGAGGGAAGAGAAGAAAAGGTAAAAAAAAGAAAGGGGAAGAAATGTGGGAAGAAAATGGAGAGAGTGGGGCAAACTGGGGAGGAAAGGATGCAGCCTGGGAGTAAGAAGAGTAGCACAGAAGCCCATGGAGCCATTGCATGAGGTCAAGGGTATAATGAGTCTGAGCCCAGCTGAGGAGGGTTCAGCTCAAGGCGCCAACTGGAGATAAGAACCTGGCTGAGTCATCCCCTGGGGCAATAGGAAGGAGGGTCCCACTCACACAGGCCTGTATAAACCCAGAATAGATCACAGCAAGCTTTCTAGCCAGAGACAGCTCTGTCTGGCTTCTTTGTTGGGGCTTCTTGGTTGGTGCTCTTTGCACAACCCTGGTTTCTGGCTTTCCTCCTTGACCTTTTGACTCCTGACTTTAGTTCCTCAGACTTTAGTTCCTCAGTCTCGGCTCCTGACTCTGGTTCCTACAAACCTTGGTGCTAGACATTGCCTCTCGGACCCTCCCCTTGTCATCCAGGTGAACCATCCTAACTACCTATGGCCTGCTCTGTTACAAAAGGATGGATCTCAATCAGAACTGCTCTAGTGGAGTCCATGCAGCTGTCCCCAGCTGAGGAATAGAGATGCTATGGCAGGATGGGTAGGGGTGGCCCCAGGTTTATTTGTCTGAGTACACTGCAGTCAAATCTGTGGGCTACTATGGGGAAAGATCATGGAGGGTCAGGCAGCCTGCTCCCGCTCTGCCACCCACTAACTCAATGATTCCAAACAAGCCAAATCCTCCAGAGAAGCCTGTGATTGGGGTTGCCTCAGTTTCCCAAATCAGAATCATTTAGCAGTTTTGTAAGCAGACTATAGGGACCCATGAGGCTGAAATAGCTAATGGGGACAGAAATGAGCCCCCAAGGCCTTCCCACACCCCCATT